CCCACCCGCCCCCCCAGTCCATTCTTCCTCATGGGTAAAGGCTCCTATGAGGAGTCAATATAGTCTGGCACAATAAGGTTAGGGGCAGGCCCCCTCTCCCATGCATTAAGACTAGGCATGGCATCCCACCATAGGGAGTGGGCTTCAACAAGCTAGCTCATGTATTGGGATTATATCATGCTCCTACTGCCACTGAGCATGACATTTCACCCTAAGGAATAGGCTCCAATAAGCTAGCTCATGTACCAGGTTTGTATCATGGTCCTCCTGCCAGGGGCCCCTCAGAAAGTCCAAGCTTAACAACCGTCTCCCACATATGGAAGGCCTAGTTCGGTTCCCTGGAGTCTCCACAGTTGTAGGTCTAGAGTTCATGAGTTTCCAAGAGCTTTGTTCAGCTGTCTCTATAGATTTATGTTAACCCTTTGATGTTCACAGAAGCTGTTTGAACATAGGTGTTGGCTCATTTTTACAGAAAGGAAATGGAGGCTTAGAGAGCTTAAGTAGTCCAAAGTCATGTAATTTATGAGCCAGGCAGAATAGGACCTTTACCATCCCAGCTCCAGAGTCAGTCATCTTCACCCTGTGTAATAGAACTTCCTATATGTACGTATGGTCTAAATGGCTCTTAGAAAAATGCTTATTCACTAAACACTACTATTGCAGTAGGGTTTCCCATGTGTAACCCAGCTGGACTTCCAGTTTGTGACCCTCCTTAGTTCCCTACGTGCTGAGATGACTGTCACAGGCTGGTATACATGTTTAGCTTGTGATTGCTTTATATTTGTATTATTGTTTTCCCCCTAGATCTTATAAGACCACGAGATACATACCAGTTTTTCGTGGAGCAACATGGTTTGAAAGTTTTTAAAACATTGGATACAGCATTTTTTTCTACTGGAAAATTGGTTTTAGGACCCTATGAAGAAAAAGGAAAGCAGCATGTTGGCCAAGATATATTGGTGAGTATATTTCTCCATTTCTGCTTTTCTAGAAGTACAACTGATTCTTTTTCTCAGATGATGCGGAAAGCAGCATGTTGGCCAAGATATATTGGTGAGTATATTTCTCCATTTATTTCTGCTTTTCTAGAAGTACAACTGATTCTTTTTCTCAGATGATGTATTAAAATTCTATTTACTTGGTAGTGACATCTTATTGTTTATTACATAAAGAAATCTTTTCCTTTATTAAATGTGTTTCAGTTAACCAGTCAGTAATTATTTAAAAATACCTGTACTGGGCATAGCACAACCTTAGGTTCAGTGGTTTATGGTGTCATTGTTTCTTAAGAGAATCTTAGAATATAGATTTGCTAATAAAATTGAATTTTAGAGCTGAAGATTATGGAGGTTATGTCTTGTGAACTTCTGTAATCATATGGTTGAGGATCAGAATAGTTAAAAAATGACTTAACTAGTTAAGAGTGCCCTTCAGACAAAGGGCTAGCTGCTCCATTCAGTACCAATAGGCTATTGTACTTGACAGGGTCTGAAGTTACAATGAGATTTATGATGAGTTGGTATGTCTCACTCTTTTCCTTCCTCTCTCCCTTCTTCCTTTCTTCCCTTCCTCCTTTCTTCCTAGCCCTTTGTCTCAGTATCTGCTGTATACACATGTCTGCTGTGCATGTTCTTGAGTGGTAATAACTTTCCTTATCTCTGGTTCATCATTCCTGTTGACAAGTGTGTTATCCAGAAAACATGTAGCCTTTGAAGAAGCTTGTATAACATTTCTCTTTTTTTAGTAAAGTTTACTGGTAATGCAGTACTGAATTTTCATGACATTGAATGAACAAAATTGAATTCATATTAGTTTTCTATTATTGACCTAACAAAGTACCACATACTAGTGGCTTAAAGCAGTTACCTTCAATTATCTCTCTTTGCATAGTTATACATGTGACAGGCTTGATTGTATAGTATATTTGTTCAGAGTATCACAGGTCTGTAATTAAGATGTTGACAGGTTTGCTTCCTTTCCTGAGGATGACTCTGTCCACTTCCCCCCAGTTTTATTGGCATTGTTGGGAGAATTCAGTTCCCATGTGGTTATAGAACTGGCATTCTCATTTTTCTCAGGAGGTTGGCATCTTTTACAAATAGCCTGATCCTTGGCTTGTGGCTCCTTCTTACCACCAGGAAGAGGAGAAAAACCTTATGATTAAAATTGCTTTTCTGCCTCATTTTTCTATTACCCCCCTCTTGCTCTGTGTGTGTGTGTGTGTGTGTGTGTGTGTGTGTGTGTGTGTGTCTGTGTGTCTGTGTGTGTCTGTGTGTGTCTGTGTGTGTGAGTCTGTGTCTGTGTTAGGATATATTTGTATAGGGGTTGGTGGATGGTATGAGGGAGTTATCTTTAAGGGTATGTGTGTTTAGATGGGATTCAGTTGAAATTAAGGATTACTCCACATCTCAAGGTTCTTTTGCCACATAGGATTTATTTCCAGGTTCTGCAGATTAGAATACAGACATCCATGAGGAGTCATTATTTTGCCTGTTGAATTTCAGTAGTATATTTGTTGTGGTTCAATTTAAAATGAGATTTTTATTTTTAATTTTACAGGTTTTTTATGTTAACTTTGGTGAACTTTTATGTACCTTACATGAAACACCATATATGATAACTACTGGTGATTCATTCTATGTTCCTTCAGGTAAGAACAAGGAAAGCATTTTGATTCATATTGTTACAATGTCTGTATAGTTGCTAATGAATGTGGGAGCTACAGTGGTCAAAATGAACTACCATGTTATTGATGCCAAAGCAGTTTGGTACATATTTTCCTTTCATTTTATCATTAAGTAAGTATATGTTAGTGTTTGGATGTGTGAAATTCCAACATGTTTGTTGCTAAATAATAAAAACATTAAGTTGGGTTGCCTTCCCAGCAATAAGGGAAGTTATTTCCTATGACATTATATAGCCCTTTTTAGTTGTTTAACTATACAGACCAGTGTACTATTAAAAGATTACAAGTAATCTGTAATAGGTATTTTAATTTATTTGCTTGCTTATTCCTTCAGTCTGTAAATATGAGTAGCAGTGTACTGTGGTGCCAAGTATTGCTCCTTAGGTTTGGGATAAATAAATGGAAAAGAGAAAAATCCTTATGTTTACAAAACTCACATTGTGGTGAAGGCAATAGCAGCTATATTTATATACATTTGTCTTACGGTGCTGGGACTTGAACTGAGGTCCTTTTCTTATTACTGGGCAAGTGCATAGTGAGTGCATCCCCATCCCTAGCACTGTAATTACTGTGTGCTAGCACTGCTGTGGAAATGCTATTAATTCTGTTAGTTTTTATGAATACCAGTTTCTAATATAAAGTCACAGTAATAATATTTAATGCACGTAAACCTGGCATATGTGACACTATCCATCTGACACTCTGTTATATTACCTAATAGATTAAAAGCAGTATTTGCCTTTTAACATTATTTTATATAACATTGCACCTTTTATCCTATGTATGTATGTATGTATGTATGTATGTATATATGTATGTATGTATGTATATATGTCTGGTTTATAGGAACCTACAACATTTCTAAAGATCATTTATACATTGGTTTCAGAATGGTTTTCTCTTGCACACATTTCTAATTAACTCTGCCTTTATTAGAGCATGATGGGAAATTTCTGTTCTTTCAGATCCTCTCTGAATCAGTAGGTGGTTATTAACTTTGGTGTCTTTGTATTCATGCAATTAAAATTAAATAAAATAAGTTACTTTAAGTTAGATAAATTGTTTCTGTTTTATATTATATGCAGTATGTGACAAGTGGTGAAGAAATACTCAAAAAGAAATTATGCTTATGGAAACAAATATATCTTTTTGTTACTTGAAATAATTATATTTTTTGTTACTTTACTTTTAGGTAATCATTACAACATTAAAAACCTCTTGAATGTGGAAAGTTGTCTTCTTTTTACTCAAATAAAGAGATGAAATAAGTGTATCTGTATAAAATAAGTTGTTTATTGTAAATTTTTGTAACTATGATTATTTTAAAATAAAACTTTTATTTAGTTTTGAGTAAACTTGAATTAGATAATCATTTCATCCTCCTGGTTAAACATTTCATGATCTTGCATGAATTCACATACTACCTTTAGAATTGCTGGTATTGTTTTAATAATATTGAAAAACCCAAAATCACTGTTACTAAATATAAAACACATCTGCTGTAAAAGAGCTGATTAATATGTCTACTCATTTACAATAGTTGGTTCCAAATATTAAATTTAAATCATTGGTCATTGAATAATCTAGTAGAAAGCTGAGGTAAATGTGCTGAATTAATTTAAATGGGCTATTGTAACAAAGTGTTTTAAAACAATGAAATCTGGTTTTATGTATTTTTTTCCTCAGTTATTTGAGGCTTGAAGTGCAAATTCAAAGTGTCATCAGGGCAATGCTCACTTCTGTAGAAGGGACTCATTTCTTCTTTTTACTATTTAATTTGGTTCCTGTCTTCTTTGGCTTTCCTTGTCTTGTACCCTAAACACTTCAGTCTTTACCTCTTATCAAATGTCTCAGTTACTTTTCTGTTGCTATGATAAGACACCATGACCAGTGCAACTTATATAAGAACGTGTTTATTTGGGGCTTACAGTTTTATAGGGTTAGAGTCCATGACTATTTTACAGGGCGAGTTTAAATCTAGATCCATAAGCATAAGGCAGAGAGAGCTAACTGAGAATGCCGTGTGCTTTCGAAACCCCTGGGCCAAGTCCCAGCAACACACCTCCTCCAACAATGCCACACCTCATAATCTTTCCTAAACAGTTCCACCTTTGAGCAGCCGTGCAGATTACTTCTGCACTTAGCCTGTGGCTCATTAAATACTCACTGATTGCATGGGGCAGTTGATAATGGACCAGTATCCCTGCATGGTGATAAACACATACCTCACCAGGATGAGGTTGGGAATTGTCTAGGCCCAGATTGTACTTTTAATAGTTATTTTCTTAAAAGTTTGGCCTTTTCTTTGTAATCCTGGAGTAGCATTTGCTTATTAAGTATCTATCTTATGGAAGTAGAAGATGAGAAGTGGAAGTCTGAGAAATAAGTGCATTCAAAGTAAGAACCTATTGCTGAAGACTCCCCACCATTTCAGATACAAGATTTGGAGGAATCAAGCTGGAACTGATATAGAAGCCTTGTCTGAAGACTATAGCTCTCATAGTACCAAGAGGAGCCATGTAAGTTGCCAAGGGAGAAATGTAATCAGTAGTCCTATCTAGCTGTAAAGCCAACAAATCACAACCATAACCAGCATGGCATGGTACTTCAGTAGTGGCACTTGTATCCTGAGGATACCCAACAGCTTTATTCCCACAACACTAAGCAGTTTCTAATTTCTACTTTATTTGCATTGTTTGTGGTTTGTATTTTCTCATCCTAAAATGCTTTATGAATACAAAGGTTTTAAAATTGTTCTTTCACTATTCTCTTAGGATTTATTTCTATTCTGTAATACAATACCACAAACAAACAACATGAGGAGAAAATGGTTATTCTACCTTACACTTCCAGTAACAGGCCATCACTGAGGAAGGTGAAAGCAGAAACTCAAGCAAGGCAAGAACCTGGAGAGGGAAGAACTGAAGCAAGAATACTCGAGGAGTGTTGCCTACTGGCTTGTCACCTCTTGGCTTGTCCCTCCCTCCCTTCCTTCTTTTGAGACAGGATTTCTCTGTGTAACCCTGGCTGTCCGGGAATTCTCTGTGTAGACCACGAGGCTGGCCTTAAACTCATAGAGACTCACCTGTATCTGCCTCCTGAGTGCTGGGATTAAAGGTGTGGGCTACCACTGCACGACTCAGCCCATTTTCTCTTTCTTTTAATTTAATTTTATTTAATTAACAATTTTTCATTTATTTTACATACTGGCCACAGTTTCCCCTCCCTCCTCTTCTCCTTTTCCCTCCTCCTGACTCCCATCTCCTCATCCATTCCTCCTCTGTCTCCATTCAGAAAGGTCAGCCCATTTTCTTATGGCTTCCAGAAGTACTGGCTCATGGGTAGGTAGCTGGGCTTTCCCCACATCAGTCAGTTATTAAAATACACTACAAATTTGCCTACAGGCCAATCTTTTTTTTCCCCCATTTTTAAAATTTGAATTAGAAACAAGATTGTTTTACATGTCAATCCCAGTTCCCTCTACCTCCCCTCCTTCCTTCGACACCCGCCCCCCCAACTAAAAACCTACTTGTCACATAAGCTTTGTGCCCCCAGGGAGGGTGAGGCCTTCCATAGGGGGTCTTCAGAATCTGTCATATCCTTTGGGTTAGGGCCTAGTCCCACCCGGGAGTATCTTGGCTCAAGGAGTATCACTCTATGTGGAATGGGCTTCCAAAGTCCACACCTATGCTAGGGATAAGTACTGATCTACTACAGGAGACCCCGTGGATTTCTGAGGTCTCCACACTGTCACCGTGTTCCTGGGGTCTGGATCAGTCCCCTGCTGGTTTTCCAGCTATCAGTTTGGGATCAAGAGCTCCCCATTGTTCATGTCAGCTGTTTCTGTGGGTTTCACCAGCCTGGTCTGGATCCCTTTTCTTATCACTTGTCTATTCTGCAACTGGATTCCAGTTCAGTTCAGTGATTAGTTGTGGGTGTCTGCTTCTATTTCCACCAGCTGCTGGATGAAGGCTATAGGATGGCATATAAGTCAGTCATCAATCTCAGTATCAGGAGGGCATTTAAGTTAGCCTCTCCTCTGTTGCTTAGATTGTTAGTTGGTGTCATCTTTGTAGATCTCCAAACATTTCCCTACTGCCTGATTTTTTTTTTTAAACCTAAAATCTCTCCCTCTATTTTGGTATCTCTTAATCTTGTTTTCTTCTATTCTTCCCCAACTCAACCTTTCTGCTCCCTCATGTCTTCCTCACCCCTTCTCTTCTCCCCTTCTCATTCTCCTAGCTCTCTCTCCCCTCCCCATATGCTACCAATTTGCTCAGGATATCTTGTCCCTTTCCCCTTCTCCAGGGGATCATGCATGTCTCTCTTAAGAGTCCTCCTTGTTACCTAGCTTCTCTGGCAGTATGGATTGTGGGATGGTAATCTTTTGCTCTATGTCTAAAATCCATATATGAGTGAGTACATACCCTGTTTGTCTTTTTGTGATTGGATTACCTCGCTCAGAATGGTTTATTTTAGTTCCATCCATTTGCCTTCGAATTTCAAGATTCCATTGTTTTGTTTTTTTGTTTTTTCCTGCTGACTAGTACTCCATTGTGTAAATGTACCACAATTTCTCTATCTATTCTTCGGTTGAGGGGCGTCTAGGCTGCTTCTAGTTTCTGGCTATTACAAATAATGCTGCTATGAACATGGTTGAACATATGTCCGTGTTGTATGAATGTGCTTCTTTTGGGTATATGCCTAGGAGTGGAA